CGCGTGGGGCTGAGGGTTTGTTCGCCCCGCCCGCAGCCAAGTTCCTGGGGCTTGGGCTGCGGGGTCCTGATGCCTATATCATCTGTTTTTACAAAAGACCAAAGTAATGATCAAACACATGGTTAGGCAATTTCTTTAAGGATGTATGGAAAATATCCCTTTTGACACAGCAAGTGGAAAATGTTAGTACAAGATGTTTATCACATCATTGATTTTAAAAATTGGAAAACATAGTATATAATAATAGTTGCCAATAATTGTTGAGTATTTATTACATGCTAGGCACCATTTTTTAAAAAATTCTGAAATAGTACTACACCATCTATGTTTTTGCCATGCTGGGGATTGAACCTGTGCCCTGGACATGCTACACATGAGCTCCGCACCTGAGCTACATTCCCAGTCCATATATAATAATCTTAATAGTGATGCCCAGAAAGATGCTTATCAAGGCATTTAGATAATAAGATCTTTTTCCTTTGCTTGCTTGCTTTCTGAGATAAGATCTTGCTGTATAGCCCATCCTGACCTTAGCCTTGTGAGTGATAGGATTACAGGTGTATGTCACTGTGCCAAAATAGATAACAAGATCTTGAAAGGCTTTTATTTCTCTTTGTATTTTTCTATGAAGTTGTATTCTTAAACACACTCCAATTTAATAAAAGCAGAGAGAAAGAGGAGGAATTCATAACATTTCTCAGGACCTATTTTTAAAAATAATTTCCTTTAATTTTATCAACTATTAAAATAAAACTTAGATAAAATATAATTTGAAACTTTAAGATAAGGGTGAAATATTTACTGTGTTTCAGATGTCTTTACTAAACTCATGCTACTTACTACTGCTTCAAAAATGATTCATTACCCAGGCAAGGTGGCACACTCCTGTGATCCCTGTGCTTGGCATGCTGAAGCAGGAGAATTTCTGTGAGTTCACGGCCAGCCTGGGCTGCATAGTGAGCTTAAAGCCAGGCTGGACTGCACAATAAGACTTATCAAAAATAAAAAAAAAAAAATCATCTCTGTTTTTTCAGTCCCTCCAATTTTCCTAAAATAACTTTTTAACAGGTGAAATGGAAATGTCTTTCTTCATCAAAGCAAAGGTGATTTAAGTGAGATAATAGTAGTACAGTCTCAAAATGGCTCTATTTGATTCAACTTGAGCATTGTCCTATAGACAAAACTTCCATTTATTTCAATCATGCAGACCAGTGTTTCCCAAATATCTTAGAAAGTCAGCTGGGACACTTATAAAAATACTGTATTCATACAAGAACTACTGAATCAGGCTTTTGGAGGAAACAAGTGAGTTTTAAGGTGTTAGTTCCAGTGTTGAGCTCTTTTCAAGTGCATGCTGCTAGAAATAATTATAATGTCACTGCATTGTAGCCATATAATCATTCTGGATAACTGATAAAATTTATAACACAGGCTATATGCCAGATTGACTCAAAGCTGCAGCTTCTTCCTTCTGCAGTTTTATTTGGAGGGAGCAGATTAGGACTGAGTCAAACCAGACAAAATGGGGTAGGATTTGTCGAAGGTCATAAGACATAAAGGACACATGTGGAACTCAGGACCCCAAATGATTCTTGGCTCCTAAGCATAGTACGCAGAACCAGTCCAAAAGTGCTAGTTCAGTTCATCATTTACATCTAGGGGGACACCAAGCAAATCTTCCTGTAGAGCAGTTTAAATACGGTGCCAGGACAAGTGGGTTTTTGATAGGACAATTGTTTGAATGCTTTATTTTCAGGAGTGGGAGCCAATCCAAGGAATTTTGGATACAAAAGACCCCTTTCCCTTATCCTCGGGACCACTGTGAGTCTGTTCACTGGGATTCTCTACTTCTGTAGAGCTTACCTCTTTCCTGTCTTCAATACATGTACATTTTTACTGCCTTTTCTGTGTGTCTTGTCCAATTCTTTGTCCAAGACACCAGAAACCTGGAATGAATCCCACAGGGACCTCCATCCAGTGCCAATCTCACCTGGACAAGTTCTGCTCATGTATTCTGTTGTGTGTCCCTCCCTCCACCTCTACCCCCAGTTTTTACCTTTCCTTGGGAAAATATGTGGACCAAGAAGCTACTCATTTCTAGAATTAATGTTTATGCAATTAGCAAGAGCAAATTTGTTGTATTGTTTTCAGTACTGGGGATTGAACCCAGGGCCTTCTCACTGAGGTACATTCCAGCCCTTAGCTTGGTTTTTATTAGATGTGGTCTCACTATGTTCCAAAATTGTCCAGGCTAACCTGGAACTTGCAGTCCTCCAGCTTTAGCCTCCCATAGTGCTGGATATATAGGTTGCATCAACATATCCAGCTTGTGTTTTTAGAAAGTTAAAACTTAGCTGTAGATCCTTTCATATGAAAATTGATCTTTACTTGACTATCATTTTCCAGCACAGGGGGCTAAACAATAGTAGATTATTCCCCTGTCTCCACAGGGAACATGAGAACTTCAAAGAATGAAGTATCACACAAAAGAAGCTACATT